TGGGGGTTTTCCCCTACTGTTGGTGGCGGCTGGAAGTAGGTGTTAGCTTTTTTTCAGGTATTTGCTACAAACTGCAGCCACCAGGATAATAAAAGCAAATATATTTTTCCATCAGGTTTCTACATTTTAAGTTAATTTAGGTGCTAATAAACTGTTTCAGAGGAGTGATCATAGCGCTCTGCATCAGCAGTGCTGTGTCTGACTCCCTGCCAGCTCCCAGATCAGCTTCTCTCATTGGTTGATGTGGTGCGTCCAGCAGCAAAAGTTCAGTTTTTCCAACTCCTGCAGCTGCTGCTTCAGCCGCTCAGACGTGCTGCTCCTGCAGGACCTTTTGCTGACCCTTGTTTTCCGTCAGCCATTGACTTTGCTGCTTCTGCTGCCTCTGCCGCTCGCGGTCTGTACGTAGCATTAAACATCCACAGCAACAAACACTGATTTGGCCTCAAATCTGCAGGAACATCAGCCAGCAATTAGAGTTCATCTTCATCTTTTCCCCAGTGTCTGACTTCTACAGCCAGGGGTGTTTAGAAAGTATTTCCTGTTTGAGTTCAGCAGTAACAGGACAGGAAATAGTTCCCCTCCTCAGATTGTCATGTGTCTGAAGCTTATCTAGAGTGTGTGGCCTTGTGTTGCTGCCACAACCTTTTTTCCCCACCAAGCTGAAGTTTCATCATTGTTTTCCACTAGCCATCAGCCTGGTACCTATTGCCAGACAGGGCACACACCTGGACAGTTGGCCACTCCTTCACAAGGCAACACACAGACATGCACCCAGGCACTAATACCTAAGGAAGATCAAAGACTCAGATCAACCTAACACCCATGTTTCCTGACTGTGGGAGGAAACCAGAGTACCCAGACTCCAGAAAGACACCTTCCTGATGCAAACCTGCCAGTGCGCAGCTTTCAGGGGAAACTAAAGAGCAGATTTTTCTGTTGTGCCCTAAATCACCTGAGACTGATGACAGTGAAGTTGGCATCTGAATAGTTGATTATTTGCTAAATGTAATGCTACGTTCACAGCTAAAGCAGAAGAGGCAGCAGAAGCAGCTGGTTTACAAGCAAAGTCAATGGTTGACAAGCATCAAGGCTTAGCAAAAGGTGCTGCAGCGCGTTTAGAGTAGCAGGTGCAGAGCGTCTGAGCAGCTGACGCGCAGAATGCGCTGCAACAGCAGCAGCTGCAGGAGTTGGAAAAATTAAACTTTAGCTGCTGGACGTGCCACATCAACATACTAGAGAAGCTGATCTGGGAGCTAGCAGGGAGACAGACACAGCACTGCAGATGCAGAGCACTATGATCACTCCTCTGAAACAGTTTATTAACACCTAAATTAACTTAAAATGCCAAAATCTGCTGGCAAAACATGTTAGATTTGATTATCCCCGTGCCTGCAGTTTGGATTACGTGTATGAAAATCGCTTTCCAGCCGCAAAGAGGTGACCGGGCCATAGACTGCTGCTGGGGATTCCCAGTGACAGCGCACCGCCGGTATGTGGGGGTCTGAGCGGCTCCCACAGAGAAATAATCTTTGAAAGCAGGATGGTAACCTGGATGAACTGACTGCACGGAGCATGTTTTTAGGAGGACGTTAACACTTCAAAATAGATTCAAACTACTTTTTATCCACTGATCACAGCAAATGTAGCTGCCATTGTTCCAGGCAAAAAAAAAAAAAGGATAGGGTAGCTCCACCCAACACGCATCAGACCCACTTTTCCACCAAACAGCTAGAGCAGCAGGCGCGTTTTAGCTGCTCCTGCTGCGCGCAGTCTGAACGTAGCATAAGAGCTTTCCTCGTTGATTAAGGAAGATTTGTTGATCTATAGTCCTTAGTGGTGGCCTGGTGGTTAGAGCAGTGCACTTGTGCTCTGAGAGGGTTGCAAGTACCAGGTTTGATCCCCACAGCCTGCACTCTTGATGATTATGCACAAAAATACGTTCACTGATCTGCTTTCTTAGCTATACATCCACTATGCCAATAAAGGACAGGCTACAAAAGCATTATTATGACCTGATATTTTAATTTTAATTCATTAAATCATTTATGCCCTTGTTTTGTCCTTGTTTTGTTCTCGGGAAGAAAAAACAGATAATGTTGGGTCTGCATAGTATTACAATATTCTAGAATTCTGCAGCTCCATAAACTTTGCAAGATTTGGTTCCTCTGTTTCTAGGTCAGAGTTTCTCTTTCTGATTGTTTTGCCTCTTTTGTTTGATGCTGTGCAGCTGAATAAATTCTTACAACCACAACAAGTTTATTTTTTACACCCAGCAGCAGCTCATCGACATCTTAAATAAAACTTTGAAAACAACCAGGGCTATGAAGATACTCTGCTGCCACCTAGTGGTCAGATCTGTACACAACCATATAAACAGTATTCTTAATGTAAACAACAACAAATACAAATACCTGAAACTACAATCAGGCAGTAATGTTGAAAAACAGATCGAAGTGATGAAAGTGATGATGTTTATTGGGCAACAACTACCTTAGATGGAGACAAAAAAAGAAAACTTTAATCTGGAGTTGCAGAAGCAGGGTTGAATGACTCTAATTACAGTCACTGAACAAAACCCTGTCCAGTTTGAACATTTTATTTGATAACCTGATATTTTATCTAGCTGAGGACCTTGTCAGTGGGAGGGACCCTCGTCAGAAAATGCTGCAACAACTTCTAAAGTCTTTTAAAGAGGGCAGCAATCTTGTTTACAGTGATAAAACTTTAAAGAGTCGCTGTGATTAAAAGGGTCATTGGTCATTGGATGTGAACCCTGGTTTAATTTAGAGCAGGCAGACTAAAAGAGCTGCTTCATTCTAAAAACTAATATCAAGTCTAATAATTTAGTAAGAAACTAGATCAGACAGCTGCAGCTGATCCAGATGCTGCTGCCTGCGTCCTCACTAGAACTATAGAAAGTAGATCAGACAGCTGCAGCTGATCCAGATGCTGCTGCCTGCATCCTCATTAGAACTATAGAAACTAGATCAGACAGCTGCAGCTGATCCAGACGCTGCTGCCTGCATCCTCACTAGAACTATAGAAACTAGATCAGACAGCTGATCCAGATGCTGCTGCTGCATCCTCACTAGAACTATAGAAACTAGATCAGACAGCTGCAGCTGATCCAGACGCTGCTGCTGCATCCTCACTAGAACTATAGAAACTAGATCAGACAGCTGCAGCTGATCCAGACGCTGTTGCCTGCGTCCTAACTAGAACTATAGAAAGTAGATCAAACAGCTGCAGCTGATCCAGATGCCGCTGCCTGCGTCCTCACTAGAACTATAGAAAGTAGATCAGACAGCTGCAGCTGATCCAGACGCTGCTGCCTGCGTCCTCACTAGAACTATAGAAAGTAGATCAGACAGCTGCAGCTGATCCAGATGCTGCTGCCTGCATCCTCACT